ATTCAACTTCTGCATAGGTGTCCCATACAACTGAAAAAGAGGAACAGACGAAAAAGACTGAAGGGCACGCATAAGAAGAATAGAATGAAGAGTAGAAAAAGGGAGGAACGAGAAACAATGTAAAAAAAGAGACAGAAATATGTACAAAAGGAAAGACGAAGACTATTTACAAAATAACTGTGCCATCAGGTTATAATCCCAATGCGTAAACTAACCGGATTATATGAATCACAATAATCTGCTACTATACAATATTCTGCATGTACTGCTTCCTAACACTATATACTACAAATAACTGTCCCATACACTTCAATTACCATAACGCACTTATGAAAAAAAGAAAAAAAGAAAAGAAAAATAAGAACAAAAACCAAAGGAAAAAAAAAATATAAAAAACACTGCACAACATCATGAATACCCGCCTCCCCGCGTCGTCACACTGTCTCTCTGTGCGTACACCTAAAACCCCGCAGGATAACAACAACATCAATGCTTCTGCCGTCGTTGCCGCCTTCCTTGCCGCGGCTGCTTCGTCGAGTTCTTGTTACACTAGACCGCGTTTGCTCGGACAATCGCCTTTACCCGGCCGCGTGCACGAAGGAGGACCATTGTCTCCGCGCAAACGCGGCCGCGTAAACCGCATTGTGTCCGAGTGCAAGACCGATTCGACGAAGTAGCCGAGTAAAGCGGTTCGATTACGGCGTTCGAGTAAACGATTCGACGAAGTAGCCGCGGGAGGGACGGCGGCCACGACGGAAGAAGAATTTGATGTTGTTACTGCGGTTTTGAGGTGTACGCACACAGAGAGACACAGTGTGTGTGAAAGGCGTTTAGTGGAGACCGGTGTAGACAGGCGGGAGCGGGCGTTATTCATGACGCCATGTGTGTAGTGGTAGTAGTAGTGTACTACTTTTTTTTCCTTTCTTGTTTTGTTTTTTTCCTTTATTCCTTTTTTTTTTTTTTTTTCTATATATTTGTTTTTTTATTTTCTTGTTTTGTCGTGTTCCCCAATCTTTCATGAAACATACAGTTCGTCTACAGCGTTGAGTTAACGCATATGTTTTATTAATGTTGACACACACAGTACTGAGAAAAGCAAAGGACGGATGTACACACGCATACGAACCATGAAGCAGTGCCGTATGTGCAACAACAGTTGAATACACATTTACAGTAATAGAAAGCAGGAATGGCACAGGCATTAAGGAACCTATTGGTGGATTATATTCAGAAAAGGGAAATAAGGGCAGATGAGCAACAGGGCGATACTGGGCCGGGCAGTTTCAGCGTAAGTTAATTACACTAAGGGGAGGATGGGAGCGACTTGTAGATTTACATACATTTACAGTAGCGCAATATACGCGTTGACGTGATCATGCAACAATCACGAATATGTATACATCTACGTATTTTTTACGTGTTTGTTGTAGGAAATATTCTGGGGGGACGTTAAAAAAGTATATAGACAGTTATTGGCGGCAATGGAGGAACCCAGGCCTGACATAGAGACCTTGTGCTCATCTAGCGAGCTGGATGAGAATGGGGTCTCACAGGCCGAGCACGCTCCATCCTTATGCCAGGACATCATGAAAGTTTATTATTTTATGGATGGTATTCCCACAGCGGACGCAAAGCCTGCGGCTGCACCTCAGACTCAGGACCAGATACACCCATTCATGAGGTGTATGGTAGGATACGTAATTTTAGCCAAAAAATTTGCACCGCTGTGTGACTTCAACGCCTTGATGCCCTATGCACGCAAGGCTACAGACGCTATGAGGCCAAGGTACCAAGTGGACACTAGTAATAGTGCATGCAACGGATTGAACCTGGATTCATTAAGAATAGGGCACAAATTGGTAGGAGCAACCATTAAGGAATGGATCGAGGAGAACAGTAGTCGGTGGGCCGACATCATGGAAGATTATATGGACGACACTTGTGCCGAACACAGCACAATTGCCGCAGGCAGCAATAGCGGGCAGGATACACAGGCAGAGACAGAGCAAGAGGGTGCGATAGGGACAATTAGTGTGGAGGATTTAAAGAGGTTGGCCGATAGTAGAGATGAATTATCCAAGCACGCAGCGACAACAGTTTTGAATCAGATACAGGGACTGAATGATGGCGATGACATAATGAAAAGGTTGAGAGACGCAATTGCAGAAGTGGAATCGGCAGGAAACATAAATGTGGCGAAAGAACAAAGAACACGGTCCCGAGGCACACATACAACATCGTCATCATCCGGATCATCATCATCTTCATCGTCATCACCATCCGGGACGTCCGAGTCGGCGCCCGCCACATCCGCCACGGCGGCTATTGTGCCGGCAAGCACACCATCAAAGGACACGTCAGGTAAGGACAGATGAGAGAAAGCACGAATACGGCCCAATACGGCCGCCACCGATACGACTCCGCACGTATGCCGCCGCCACAACAGCGCACGTGAACTACGCATGGATGCCATCACAACAACGCACACGCGGTGACGACGGCAGTGGTAGCGGCGACGGAGCGGGACGGCGACAACAGCAGTGTACTGTTGCCATACCACCTCACCGTACGCTTGCTGCCGCCTGACCGCACCGTCCCGGCCCCTTCTTTCTGTACCACTTGTGTCCGTTTCTTTTATCGTCATTCGTCCATCTGTCTGCCGTTCTCCTTTTTGCAGGCGCAGCGAAACCGGCAGCGAAGGAGGCGGCAACCACACAACCGGTACCTGCAGGAGCAGCTACCTCAGGTACTGCATCAGCACCAGGAGCGCAAACACAAGCACCGCCGCAACAACCGGCATCCCCAGTATTACCAGCAACGGACACGCAACCACCGGCGGCACCCCCATCAACATCAGGAGCCGGATCAGCCGGAGGATCAGGGGGCCAAGGACCAGGCCCTGGACAACAACCCCCACCTCCACAACCACCACAGTCACAGGACCCTGCAGGAAAGCACGAGCGCACACCTAACAACCACCAGGACACTGCAACAGGTGAGTATACTTGCCCGCATGAAAAGTCCAAGAATCCGCACGCCGCCATAGAGTCACATGCAGGTTCACGTGTGAGCATTACCAAAGGCCACTATACCCCTGAAGGTCAACCGTCATGTGAAAAGATTAACGAACTTCTGCGCACTCAGCACAGTCCGGCAACTAATTTTAACCCTACGGACAAAAAGAGTAATAGGAGCAAAGAGTTCGCGTCATCTCGCACTCATGTTTGAGGAGCGCGCACAAACGTGTTCACCAGAGTTTACATAGAGGGGACATGTGCGGAGGTGTGAAAAAGAAAGAGCAAAACAACAAAAAAGAAACAACAACTTTTCCGAAGACAGACGGAGAGACAACACGGCGAGAGGGGCAGAGAGAAACCAAACGTCGAATGAGCGACAGCGGCAGAGCGACAGCGATGGGTCCGCCGCGGGATACAGACGTAGAGACGTCGACAGACACACACTGTGTCTGTGTGTTGTGTGGGACAGAGAATCTTTTCCCGGGTGACACCTGCACCGTAACCACCGTTGGCACTGTGGCACCAAAGGTGCGAACCATCAATTGCCGACCGTGCAGCGACGGACCACAACGATCATGGTGAACCGTGGCCATCAGCATCCATTGCACAAAACATCAGTTTCCTTCTGTATTCTTTCCCTCACCTTATTTTATAGGTAGTGGTGATACTAAAGACGTGACGCCACCGGACCACAAAAAAGGAGTATCACAGTCTCCAGAACTGACACCAGGACCTGCACCATCACCTGCATCTCCAGAGGCACAGCCGGAACTGCCGGCACAACCGGAAACACCAGTAGCAACAGACCCAGCAGCATCGGACCCAACATCACCATCAACAGGAACAGAAACAACATCAACAGGAAAAGGAGGGGACGGTAGTACGAGTGACACGAAGCATGCCGTTGCCATCGTCGATGGCGGTAACGATGACCCCCCTCCGCTCAATCCACCCAAACCAAAACCGAATCCCGATCAGACCGCCAGTAGTAGCGGCGCCGACAAAACCACTGCAGGGGTCGATCCGGATAAGCACTGTACTAATAAAGGTGAAGGCCACGGGTGTGATCTCATGTTAGCAGTACCATTTGAACCTACCACAAACCTCTCGGATGGACACTTTGGTTTAGGTGCCACACCCGCTATACGGGACTTAAACAAAGATGGAGTCCGCAAGGAGGACGTGCCCCTCGATGTCCCTGACCTAACGAACGCCGTCCTTACCGCCACTACTCCCGTACTCTTCTTCTTGTCCGCCGTCACCGTGGCCCTCCTTGGTTATTCGCTTTGGAAGGTAAGTGCACACACACAAGCGCACTCACACGCACAAATATAACCGAGTGGAAAATGGAAACACAACCGTTGCCATTCGCCATTCCACTGTTCCCAAAAGGCACTGTAACCAACTTTACACTATTTGGAAGTTACTACTACAGGGTTTAGGGTTTAGGGTTCAGCGTTTAGGGTTTAGGGTTTAGGGTTCAGGGTTTAGGGTTTAGGGTT